AAGTCCAGCATGGTCATGTGATTTTTCACTTAGCAACCATGGCACTTAGTGATGGAGTTGCCACTCCCAATTGTGGTTGATGAGTGAGGGCTACCTGTAGTGCCTAAGGCAACACAGGCTTAAGTCCATCCTAAGTCATGGAAGTTCACTTGGTTCTTTGGTCAGACAATTTCTCTCAGCCCAATTTATGCCACAGGGTTGGTCTAGAGACAAATTAGAGGAGGAAGTACCATATATGCTGTCTTGAGCTCCTGAAAATAGGAGTGTAAATCTAGCCAATAGATACCTTTTGTCTATAAATGTTTCATTTAACTCACTACCAAGGGCACCTACTACAGACTAAAGCATTCTACCAACAATTCGTATTTTAAAAGTGCTGATTTCATGGCTGCTGAAACACCTGGCTTAAGTTTTGGAGTTCCTCGCTTTTTGTGTGTTTACCATGTACACCTCTTACTATCACACAAAATGCAAACCCATGGCTAACTCTAGTAATCCAGTTGCCTGAATTAACACAGCATGCTAAGAAACAAACTAGCCAGCCACATTTAAGCCCAGTGTACTATTTGAACCCCACAAAAAATGTTTATGCTCACCTATTCCAGGTGTCTGCACAGGATGCTGAATGCAAACTACCAACCACAAATGCTTTCTCTCCAGCTTTTCCTGCTCCCTCCTCTGCCTCTTTGAATGCTATTCACTAATAGTACTAATTGAATAAGTTACTTAAAATTCAACCCATGTAACCCATGTAAGTTTTTTCTTTTCCTCTAGATTTGTTTGTTTCTTTCCCTTTTTCTTCCGTCTCTCCTCCACTTTTTGATAGTGGAAGAAATAAATATGCAAGGTAGCAACTGATGGCACACAGTTTTCCTTGCCTCATGGAGCCATTTTCTCAGCCTAGAAAAGGACAGAGGATTTTATTCTGCCTTAGAACAGGGTTTCTTGGCAACTTTAAGCAGTGTAGACTTCCACTCCCAGAATTTTCCAGCTGCCTAGGCTGAGAAACGCTGCTCTAGAATATAATCCTGTAGGGCTTTTGTCAAGAAGGGGAGAATTAGAGAGATGAGTTTCCCTGACTAGTCCAGTTTGCAATTCTTTGTAGCAAAGAAATGGAAATATCTGCTCTTTGCTATGATTTCCTTGTTTACTGCATGGAGATGTTTTCAGACAGGATGCAGACTGTTTTATAAAGCATCAGGGGATGAAGTTTTGAAATGATTTCACAAGGAAACTGAGCTTGGAGATTAAAAGGGGGGAGAGAATAGGGAGTGCAAAGCCTGATTTACCAGCAGTGGAAACCGTTGTACAAGCAAGCAAGCAAACTGTTAAAGGAATTCAAAGACTTCAAAAAAGTTTGTCAAACATGGCTCATTTATTTAACGATGCCCTTTTCCCCTTGTCCTTGCTCGTCCCCTCCTTTTTAAAGATTGTTTTTATTATTATAAACATTATTTACATTAAATTGCTGAGTACACAACAGCTTCTATATTCTTACACCTGGCTATTAAAATTGAAATTTTTCATACATTCTGATGGGTGTATGTTTTGCTCTTTATACAACAGATAAAATCCTGCCCATCCTGATCGAATATTCACTGCCCACATTTTTTTAAGCCCAAAGTACCACACAGTTTCCTTTCCCTTTTTTGTTTAACATCTTTAAGCTGAAAGTATAGACTTTGCTGCTTTGCTTTGATGAAACCTAACTATCAGTTCTTCCTTGCTACAAAGTTTCTATGGACCTATAGGGGAACATAGGAACAAAAGACCAACCTGCTCCCTATGACTTTCCCTATTGCAGCATCAGAGCAATGCAAGTACCAGAAGGGAAAAGAGTTTGTGTCAAAGGAAATAATGTGTGTGTGTGTGTGTGTGTAGGGATCCATGTTTCAAACATCCAGGAAGGCAAACAGAAGGCACCAGGACTAGTGAGGAGGGAACAGTCCCTAAAAGGAAAAAGCAGGCAGTGGTAGACTGATCCACACAGGAGCCACCCAGTGAGGCTTACCTTCCTGCATGGATGAGAAGGACAAGAAGCAGAGAACGATCAGTTAGACCTTGTGGAAGCCATAGCCCAGCCATGCTGCCAACTCACTGCAGTCTGGACTGGAATTTCTGAAGGTGGCTTAAGAAATGGTTGGAGCAGCCTGGGTGACCAGCAGCTTAGGCTGTGGGGTGCAAGTGCCCTAAAACTGAACGCTGAGAAAAAAGTCTCCCTTTCACCTTTTTTGGATTCATTTCCAGTTTGTGCTTCTTGAGCACAGAGATTCGTGCTGTAAATCACCAGGAAGAGAAGACATGGCTACACCCAGTCAGGAGTTGTGACTGATTTGAGTTTGATATGCCTCTCTTCCATCCCAGCTCGGGTATTGTCACTTCTCGGAGACCTGCTCATTCAGGACACAGCTCCTCATGGCTCGGCTCCTTGCCAGGAGGCTCTGGGACTCGCCTATAAGCTGGTAGGACCCATAGCAGAGATTGTAATGCAATGCCTAGAAACTATAGCACTTCCACACATACAACCTAAAGTATGGATCCAGTA